CTGCTCGGATACGAACTAGTATTGATGATAGAAAAGAGAGCACGGATGAGAAATTGAGGTAGGAGGTCATTTTGGAAATTTTTGAGCAGGAAGATCTGACGGATTTCTAGAGATTCTTGACTCATTCAAAGCACAATGAACATTTTTTCTTGTTTTAGTTCAAGTGTGACTCCTGAGAGTAATGACAGTATCAAAGAGTCTAGCGAACCATCGACTTCAAAATCATCCGCTGAAGTCAAGTAAATTGTTATTGCTTTTTTTATATGTTGGTTGTCATGTGTAATCTTTATTGTGGCTACAATACCGTGTGTATCGAGCAATCACCAGCAGCTTTTTTTCTAGAGTTACCAGAAAACATTCGTCTGTGACAGTGAAAGCTGCTGGAGCTGGGAAAGTGCGGATTTCTTCATCGGTTGTGGAGAGCGCGACAGTAACATCGAAGTCTCCTAGTCTACTAAGCGTCCGGAGGTTTGTGGCGTCTTCTAAATCTGTGTGCCATTATATGATACTGTCTTTTGAGGTCTTCACGAAGCCACACGCTGACCAAGAAAATGCTCGATTCGGACATAGTGCTGAAAACTGGCCTAGCCACTCCAACCGTCTCCAAGCCTGTTGATCCAAATTCTGCTCTAGGAATCTTGCAAAGAGTTTCAAGGTATTTCATGCTTCTTCGCCATTCAACTTTCTTTTGGATTCTATTTGATATCTCTTTGCGTTCTCATGCTTACCTGCTTATTTTCTACAGGTTTACACGTCCTATACGATCTCCATCACCTCAACCGTTACCTGCCGCTCTTCCTCATCCTTCTGAACCAACGAAAGATACAAATTCTGCTGTTCCTGTGACTGCTGAGATTGCACCTGAAGCGGAAAAACCAGCCGAAAAGGTTGCGGATAATGTGGAGACAGTCGAAACAGCTACTGACAAAGACAAGGGTAACCATTGCATACAGCATTGATTTTGTCAAGCCTGAAATTGTCTAGAAACTGCGTCTTTTTCCCGAGACACCGAAGAA